CCCCAGCCAGCATGCTGGCTGGGGAATTCTGGGAGTTGAAGCCCACCCATCTTAAAGTTGCCAAGGTAGAGAAATGCAAGCATTGCATTAGAAGAAAAGCTTAATCTGGCTTCATGTCATTTCATTTCATTTCCTAGACTAATACAATCACAGTATCCTAACATGTAAGGGTTGGAAAGGACCTGGAAGATTTCTAGATCAGCCCTCTGCCCAGTGCAGGAATCCATTACTACAACATCCCCAACAGATAGCCCTCCAGCCTGTTTGAACACGTCTAGTGAAGGAGAGTTAGATTTGCATTTCAACCCAATGAAAATGAAATACACTGACTAGGATAACTCTCCAGAAAATTTAATATTTTTCAGCTTTTGTCATGTTAAAAATGACAGCCTGGTAATAAATTTTGGAGCTCTGGGAGCCCCATCGAACGCTTTCAGGAGCTAACTGTGGTCCTCGGATTATGCCTCTTCAGCTAGGAATAATATCTTTCCAAGTATTTTTAATAGTCATGTAAGAAATTTGAGTAATAAATCATGATCATTGCAAGAACACATCTGAAATCTTAATAGCAGAGGAATGCAGCCTCTTTTTGGAACTTTAACAACAAATTAGCATTGCAGTTGTATCCACCCATTCCTATTTAAATAGAACATTTTTATCCTTCACTCAAAATACTTAGATCCATCAACTCTGAATGTGCCTGATATTTACAACATTGGTGGAGTTTAATGGGTTGTGAGAAGTATGAACTTTTTGGAAGGTTCTACTTCAGGTTTACAGCATCTTGGAGAATGAAGATTTATTAGATATAAGTCTACCATGATAGGAAACTCATTTCCCAAGCCAGTTGCGTTTTGCATAATATTTACCCTATTTTGATGAAGCGATTTTGCATCCGGACAGAATCTTGCTCTGCTGAAATATCAGATATATCACAAAGCTGCACTTTGACCAATCATAGAATGTTGTAAATTATAGTTAAAAACAGAGAGATAAAAGCGCACACATAATAAATAAAAGCACTAAGCCATTAAATTACTCTTTAATGTTAACGTTGCAGAGATGAAAAGGCCTACTACAAGAAAAAACATCATGAAATAAGTAATGTTAAAGCCCATTTAAACACAGGCAAAGTTGAAGCCATACATAACTCATTACCATGGAGCGTGTAATTTTGAGACTATCACTGACAAAGCTCTGTGTCTTTTTCCCACAGCCAAATCAATCTTACAGAACAGTTCATGAGCAGGACCTCCTGGGTCTTGACACATTTGTATACATGAGTGATCCTTCAAATAACAAATCCTGTAATATTTAGTTTTCTGTAAATCCACACCAATACTTTGAATCCAGTCTAGAAGCCATAGACAACCAGTAAAACTGACACAGAATTAGTGACATGTGTCCCAATGCTTTGTCCTACCAACATCTGGTCAGCCCCTTTCTTGAACATCTTCCAAAGACAGCTCTGTGTGGAGTGCATTACAACAGTCCAAGCAGCATTCACTAGGACATGGTTAACAAAGGTAAATACTATTTTAGACAAGATCACAACTGCTGTGCCAATCGGGGCTGCTAAAACCTCGTGGACTGTCCATCTGCACTTCCACAGATTGAGTTGTTCATGAGTCTCTACAGCAGTATTTCTCAACCTTAGCAACTTGAAGATGTGTGGACTTCAACTCCCAGATTTCTCAAACCCAGATTTCTGGGAGTTGAGGGCCACACATCTTCAAGCAGCCAAGGTTGAGAAACACTGCTCTACAGTCTATTAACTTGGTCCTTCATGGGCAGGACAACCCCATTCCATACCAGCTACAGTCCTTTATACAGACTTCCCAAATCCAGTCTTGTCTGGATTAAGCTTCACCTTCTTCTCCTTTACCCATTGTGCAAAAACAGGAATGGGTAGAAGGTCAACAAAAGGTCAACCTGCAACTTCTTGGAGGGTGACTTCTTCAACACTACCCAATGTGGTGAGATTCAAGGAGATCCAACCCAACCCAACTTTGACAGCATGCCTTTGTTTCCACAGTGTGCCCAAGTGGAAGATATGGAAAAGACTGTGCTGATTTGTGTTCTTGTACAAACAATGGGACCTGTAACCCCACTGATGGCTCTTGCCAATGTTTCCCAGGATGGATCAGCAAAGATTGCTCCCAGAGTAAGAGAAACAAATCTCTTTTTTCTTTTGGGTACCAATGCAGTAATTTTCTTTTCACATTACAGACATATAATTAAGGATAAGTAGGTAGATGTTTTTATTTAAAGTATTTTTATAGCAGAAACCACTCATTCAGGTTCATGTTCCAGAAAGTTAGCTCTCTGGTTCTTAACTCATGGGCTGCCTTCTCAGGACCTGCTTATCCTGGTTGTGGAATTAACCCATGTTCAAGGTTTGCACAATACAGGTCTCCATAAATTTTTCAAATGTGCAGGATTCACACAAAAACAACCATTACCCATGGTTACGGCAATCCAAACTTAGCAGGTTAAATGAATGCATCTGGTAGATCTTTGCTTGAATGCAACCAAGGAGAGGAGAAATAATTATCTTGAAGTTTCTTGAGATTGTTGATGGATAACAATATATTTATTCATGAGGTTGCAGAATAGGTTAAGTGAAATCTGTAAGTGGAAGGTGGATGTCTGACTGCAACCCTGTCTGAAACCTGGGGTAATGGTTTCTGATGCCATATGGCCCCCACACTGGATCTTCTCTATGAAAGTTGCCCTTCATTCATGTATCTTTTTGGAAATGCCTGGTTGGCTACCGCATGTCAATGCTTCTTTAATCAAAAGCTTCCTGTTGGCACATTCAGCCCAGTTTATTGGTTCTTGAGGAGCCTCATGCTAGAATTACTCATGAATAGTCTATTAATTGCCTCTGAAGAGTTTTTTCCTAATTACTACTTAATGACAGTTTGCTGGGGAAGGGCTTTAATTACAGAATTCTTCCTATGCCCTCTCTATAGGGTATCATTTCACTTCATAAATATGGAACCCATAAAAAAAGGGGGTGGGTGGGAAGGCCCATTAATACAATCTTCCTACCATGCCAGGAACAGAAATAAGGGACAGTTAAGAGGGCTTTGGAAAAAAAATAATTAACTGGTTGTTCATTGTTAATTTCCCAGCTGTGCTCAACAGGAAGCAACAGAAGAGCACGACCTAGAGGCAGGAAACCTTTAATTAATGTTGGAAGGGACCTTAGCTGGACAGCTACTTCTGAATAAACAGCACAGAACAATCTGGGCTCTGCGCTCCACAATAGAAATGCTGCATTAAGTACAGGGCAGGGAGAGGACTTCTGATTTAATTTCCACTGTCAGCTGACTGAGGGAAACCAATGTCTTGGCAACATTTCTGGAGAGAAAACCAACGTTTCCAACACACACAGGCACACACACACTCCAGTCTACACAATTAGATTATTTGTATTGTTCCCCCTTATGGGGCTATCGCTAAAATTGCAAATGATTTCCCCCCCCCCCAATATTCCCTGCAACTAATTTTACAGAAAGACGCGGATAAATTAACAGTGTTCCTTTCAGCAAAGCGAACAGACCTATTTTACAACATTTTAAGGTTGAGAACAAAGATGAAAATCAAGAGATCTGCTTGAATCTCTGACCCACGTTCACTACAGAAGTTTTCCACTTAATAGCCCCCCTTAATCAACCCAAAAGACCAGGGTTTTTTTATTGTTTTAAAGTAGAGCCCATTCTTTTCAAGACTTTTCTGAAGAAATAATTAAGTGATCCACAATTCTGTGCAGTGAGGTCCATGTGGCTGTAGACTGTAAATTCTTTTACAGTTCCTATTCCATGTAATTTACATGTTGAAAGACGGACAGTTATTTCTTTGAAATTGCCTAGACAGAAAATTGACATCTCTGGATCCTAAAAGTAGCATGTTCCAAACAAGGCCTTCGCTAGAGATGGGACATCGCAGGAAAGACCAGCATGTCCCCCAGAACTGTTACTCCATATTCATTATGCGGCTGGAGATATTAAACAGCATTTGTTGTAAAATACATTAAAGCTCGAGTGATACAGTAGGGATTGGATAAAAACAGACAGCTGCAATTTTGCTTTTATTGTAGGTCTTCCGCGAGTTGAATATGGCTGTCAATCAACATAAAAATTAGGCAGGCTATCAATTTCATGGGTGATTACTTAGAAAAGGCTTGAGAAGTTCCTGTTCATTTGTGCTGAATTGGGCCAATGGCAAACATTTCATTTTTTGTAAAAGGGGACTGAATGGCTCAACTGGGAGCTATGGGGAGATCTGGCTGGGTCACATGAGGCCAAGATGATTAGTTACACAAGTTACACAATATGCATTTATTTGTGCAAGTGATCCATTTCCTCAATCTTAGCAGGGTCTAGCCAGCTTAAAATAATGTGTGAACCTGCTGAATGCCTGGCGTGGTTCCAGGACAGAATCTTCTTGCACTAAAATTGCTGCAGTAATTTCAGAACAGTCAAATCCATAAATTTCACTTTCATTCCATTCCTCGTCTGCCAATTTTGAAATCTACTTCCTCCCATTTCTGCATCCGTTTTTACACCTAGTTGAGCACACTTCCCTTACCACTTGTTTTGTTAACCCAACATGGCCTAATACGCGCCTGTTCAAGTGTTTTTCCCTAATATAATATGTTGGCACAGATTATTCAAAAGTCTTTTTATATCCACTCCCCCCAGATACATTTTTGGGTACATTTGGTTGCTTGGAGAAAGGGTCAAACATGAAGCAGTGCTAATATTTAAATCCACGGCCGTATTGATCTGGAAAAGACAAAGCGGGTGAATGTGCATTGAAATGCAAGTTGAGCAAGACCCTCTCCTACCCTGGGCTCTGCCATATCCTGATGGGAGAGATTTCGGTGCATGTACAGAGTGCACGTGTTTCTGTGGAAGAAATGGTTGCACTGCAGCTGTTTGAAGAAAGTCGCTGCCTACTTTTCAGTATCCAGTAAGGAAAGATTAGCTCATGTTCCTTTGGTCTCTCTCTTTCTCTCTCTCTCGTCAGCTTGCCCGGTTGGATTTTGGGGGGCCGATTGTTTTCATTCGTGCAGTTGTCACAATGGTGGGACCTGCAGCCCCCACAACGGAGAATGCAGATGCACCCCTGGCTGGACCGGTCCCTACTGTTCCCAGAGTAAGACGGAGGGTTGGGAAAGTCTGAACTTCCTGGCCGGGAGAGTTCTGCAAAAGGCTTACACTGCCCCGTAGTGTCTGTTCTAAGCATTTTCGGGCTAGCGAAAGTCGGATGGCAGTCCAACGGCCACCTTCTCCAAATAAAACCACACCAAACCAGCCTAAATCAGTCCTAGCAAGGGGAGTAAAAAAAGGAACAATACTTGATTTTATAGTCGCACGTGGCGTTCTAATCTCCCCAGCACATATTCCCCCATTAGATACAGGTTGGTTTTCGCAGCTGGTCCGATAAAGTCCTCAAACTGGTGGTCCAGAAGCTGTAGGGCTGTTGGGTTTAAGAGAAGTCCTTTCATCCTGTGCCTCAGGAACAGCCAAAACAATTTTGTCAACCCTGCAGATATGTTGGATCACAGGTCCCATCATCCCCTACAATCATTTAGAGCCGAGTCCAGTAGACACTGGCCTAAAGTCCCCCAGCGAAGTTCACGGCTGAGGGAGCCCTCGAACCCAATCTCAGTTGCCTTATGTCTTCCTCTGTCCTTTCTGGCGTCCCAATCCACCAGGATGTCCAGCTGCCTTTTACGGAAAGAACTGTGCCAGCGTCTGCCAGTGCCAGAACGGGGCCGACTGCGACCACGTCACCGGGCAGTGCACCTGCAGAACTGGGTTCACAGGAAAACAGTGCGAGCAAAGTAAGTTGGGGAATGGAAAGCCTCGCTCTTTTCCAGAAGGTCTGAGTTGCTTTGCTATGGAGGGTTTTTTTTGGGGGGGGGGGGGCTGTGGGTGGAGTAGCCACAAAGAAATATGTGGCTGCTGCACCCTTCCTTCCTTCCTTCCTTCCTTCCTTCCTTCCTTCCTTCCTTCCTT